AGGTGCTGGGAACCAAACCCAGGTTCTCTGCAAAAGCAGCAAGCACTCTTAACCACTGAGCCATCTTTACAGCCCTTTATTTTATTTTATTTTATTTTATTTTATTTTATTTTATTTTATTTTGTCTTTTTGAAGCAGGGTCTCCCTGTAGCCCCAGCTTTCCTGGAACTCACTATGTAGACCAGGCTGGCCTTGAACTCACAGAGATCCACCTGTCTCTGCCTCCCAAGTGCTGGGACTACAGGCATGCGTCACCACGCCCGGCTCATAGCCCTTATTTTTTAAAAACAAAAAAATTTTTTGAGATAGTATCCCACTGTGTAGCCCCAGCTGGCCTGAAATTCGCTATGTAGACCTGGTTGGCCTTGAATTAACAGAAATCCACCTTCCTGTGCTTCTGAGGTCTGGGATTAAAGGCATATGCCACCATGCCCAGCCCCCCCCTCCTTTTTTTAAAATGTGATCTCACAAACTTCTACTCTAGAACCTTGCCTAATGGCCCCTTTCTTGGAGCCCAGAGAAGGCATGGGACCTGGCCCTCCCCCTTCAACACACACAGTGTCACTCAGTTCTCTGGTTTAAGTAGAATGCCTGACTTTCAGCTGTGTTGAGTGTCCCACTATTTCAAAGCCCTTTGAGTTCACTCTCCTTAGAGAATCAGCTACCAGGTTCAGGACCTGGCTGGCACAAACACAGTCCAGGGACATGGAGTCTGATAGATATTTTAAGGACCTATTACTTAAATAGCTTGCTATGTAGCCCAAAGTGACTGGAACTCACTATGTAGCCTGATCGAGGCTCAAAGTCATGATCCTTCTGCCTTAGCTTCCTCAGAGCTGGGATCAAAGGTCTGCACTACCATGCCTGGCTGCTCTCTGCCTCTAGGCACATACTTGTTCAGGTTCTTTCCTAAAAATGAAATCATACAATATGACTTCTTGTGCCAGTGTTGTTTTGGGGGGGTTGGGGACTGAAGCTAAGATCTGGCACTTGCTAAGTATACCTTCTCCCACTGAGCTGCTTGGTAGTCCTGTATCAGTGTTTATTCATGTAGCATAAAACTGATGTCCATCTGTATCATAGCTCATATCAACAGTTCATCCTTTGTTGTGGCTGAATAATATTCCATCTTACAGATATGCCACAGTTTATTTATCCACACATCCATTCATTTATCCAACCATCCATTGTTGTGAATGGTGTTGCTATAAACATTTGTGTTCAAGGATTTGCCTGTTTTCCTTTCTCTTGAGGGTGTTGCTAGGAATGGAATGACTGGGTCTTGTGAAAATTCTCTATTATACCATTTTGAGGGATCAACAACTACTTTCTGCAGTAGTTGAATCCTTTTCCTTTTCTATCAGTTCTGACAGAGGGTTCTAATTTCTTGGTCACATTTGTTGCTGTCTGGAGTTTTTTGCTGTTGTCATATTTCATGTATTTTTATCTTATGTGTATGTATGCTTGCTGCGTGTATGTAGTATATGCCTGCCGTATCCACAGAGGACAGAGGAGGACATCAGATCCCTTGGAGCTGTAGTTACGGATTGTTATTAGCCACCACGTGTGTGCTGGGAACTGAACCCCCGATCCTTGGCTAGAACTATCAGTACTCTTAACTACTGAGCCATCTCTCCAGACTCTGGTTTCATTTTGCTTTGTTTGTTCATTTTGTGTGTGTGTGATTTTTGTTTGTTTTGCTTTGTTTTGAAACAGGCTCTCACTATGTAGTCCCTGGCTGGCCTGGAACTCACTATGTAGACCAGGCTGGCCTCCATCTCACAAAGATCTACCTGCCTCTGCCTCCTGAGTGCTGGGATTAAAGGTGTGTGCTACCACATCCCACAAACTTCTGGTTTTTAATTATCCCCCATTCTAGGACCTCATTACCTCTGGATTTGCATTTCTCTAGTGACTGATACTTGATTTGCATTTCCCTAGTGACACTGCTTTTCAGGTGCTTGCTGGCTTTGGTAGGCTTCTATCTTTTAAAAACTGGGAGGGAATGATATTAGACATCTATATTCAATCCATTATTTTCACCTTGAAATCCTCTTCCCTGGTTTTCTGACCTCTGAGATGATTAGGATATGGAAGAGGGGTGAGATGCAAACCCCAAGGAGTCCAAGGTATGTGTTACACAGTAAAAAGTGCCAAGCCAGGCCTTGAAGGACTGTGACTCCACAACCAGCTCTGCCAAGCACTTCTGTGTGGGACCTTGGCTGTAGCTCAGTGGGTAGAGTGCTTGCCTAGCATGCACAAAGCCCTGGGTTCCATCTCCAGTACTGCATAAATCAGGCTTGGTGGCTCATACTTGTAATCCCAGCACTCAGGAGATGGAGGCAAGAAGATTAGATGTCCAAGTCATGAGTACATAATGAGTTTGAAGCCAGCCTGGACTACATAAGACTGTCTCAAAATACTATGTGATCTTGGACAAGTCTCAGTTCTTCCTTTTTGAGTTTTGTTTTCCTTAGGCAACTTTGGACTGTGACCTTTAAACTTCTTAGCCAGTAGGGTCAGCAAAATGGGTAAAGGTGCTTGCAGCCAAGCCTGATGACCTGAGTTCGATCCCTGGAAACTACAAGGTGGAAGAAGAGAACTGATTTCCACGAGTTATTCTCTGACTTCCATATGTGTGCTGAGATATGTGCACCCCCCCATCTCCCCACAAATAAATAATTTTTTTAAGTTCTTAGCTGGCATAATTGTGCATACCTGTAATCCCAGTACTTGAGAGGCTGAGGTAAAGGAATCTTGAGCTCAATGACAAGCCTAGGCTAGATAGCTAGGTCGAGGCCTGCCTGGGCTGCATGGTTACAGCTTATCTCAAAATACTGCATGCGGGACTGGAGAGATGGCTCACTGACTAAGGATAGTGGCTACTCTTGGAGGGGACCCAGGTTCAAATCCCAGTACCCACATGGCAGTTAATAACCATCGTAACTCCAGTTCCAGGGAATGTGACACCCTCTTCTGACTTCTGAGGGCATTGCAAGACATGGGTGCACTTAAATACATGTAGGCAATACACTCATACGTATAAAATAAATAATAAAATATAAAAAATAATATTTTTGGTCTTTTGGAGACAGGGTCTCCCTGTAGCCCTAGCTGGCCTGGAAGCCACTATGTAAACCAGGCTGGCCTTGAACTCACAGAGATCCACTTGCCTCTGCCTCCCGAGTGCTGGGACTAAAGGTATGCACCACCATGCCCAGCCCATAAAATATTTTTAAAATAAAAAAATAATGAACAAATAATTTAATTCTTTCCAGGTGTAGTAATAGTGCATACCTGTATTCTAACACTTGGGAGGTGGAAGCAGGAGGATCAGGGGTACAAGGTCTTTCAACCTCAGCTACGTATTGAGAACAAAACCAACCTGAGCTACATAACATGTTGGGGGCAAAAAAACAAAAAACAGGCCAGAGAGATGGCTCAGTGGGTAAGGTGCTTGCCGTGTAATCATGAGGACCTGAGTTTAATCCTCAGCACCCATACAAAAAAAGCAAGGTGGGGCAGCACACGCCAGTAACCCCAGCACTGGGGAGGCAGAGACAAGTGGATCCCTGGAGCTCACTGGCCAGCCAGTCTACCCAAATAAGTGAGCTCCAGGTTCATGAGAGACCCTGTCACAAAAAAGAGATGATTGAGGAAGACACAGACATTGTCCTCTGGACCACACATTTGCACACTCATATACACACACAAGTGCATACACTAAACAAACAAACGAAATTCCTAGCCAGGCATGGTGGTGCCTGCCTGTAACCCCAGAACTTAAAGACTGAGGCAGGAAGATCAAGAATTTGAGGCCAGTTTGGCTGCATAGTTGGACTTTGTCTCAAAATAAAATTGATAGTGTCAGCAAGGTAGTTCAGCTGGTAAAGGCACTTTCTGCCAAGCCTGACAACCTGAGTTCAATTCCCCAGACCCACAAGGTGGAAGGAGAGAACCAACTCTGAGGTGACTCCCACAAGTTGTCCTCTGACCTCCATACACACGTCATGGGACACACATGCGGGTACACACACAAATAAATAAACATAATAAAAATTTAAATAAGTTGGATGGAGTGGTACACTCCTTTAATCCCAGCACTGGGGAGGTAGAGGCAGGCAGACCTCTGTAAATTCAAGGGCAGCCTGGTCTACATAGTGAGTTCCAGGCCAGCTGTGGCTACAGGGAGACCCTGTCTCTAAACAAACAAAAAACTCTCAACTAAAAAAAAGTATGTGGATTAGAGTGTCTATTCATGTGAGTGTATGTCTTGCTGTATCTGAACACACACACACACACACACACATACGAGGACCATGCCTCTCCCTCCTGATTCCTCCCTGTCCTCTCTCCACAGTGGAACACACGAGCCAAGAGGGAGAAGTTGACAGAGCTGATGTTTGAGCAATACAACATTCCTGCTTTCTTCTTGTGCAAGACAGCTGTTCTCACCGCGTATCCTCTGGGCTGAGCTGCTCTGCCAGGGTGGAGGGCCAGGGTGGAGTGTCTGTGATGTGCTGAGCTGAATGCTGGGCCTGATTCCCAGCAGATCACTATCTTGGGTGTGAAGACATTTCTCTGCATCTCACTAGGGCAAAAGGCCCCATGGGAAAAAGGCTGAGGGTTTGGGAGACCAGATCAGCGGCCCTTCCCTATTCTGTGAGTCAGTCCCAGCAGGGACAGTTGGGCCAAGTGAAATCTAGGGCTGGGTCTGCACAGAGGAGGTAGGGATGTGTGACATTCGGCTGGCTCCTTCCCAAAAGGCCAATCAACATTGCCTTTTTTCAGGGCATGCTGCACACTGAACTCTGTGCTAGGCATGATCTGACTGGGACCCTAATTCATGGAGTCCACAGGACACAAAATCACACATACCAGTAATCCAGCAGTCAAGAGCTCAGACAGATGGATCACAGGTTCAAGGCCAGCCTAGGTTACATAGCATGACCCTGTATATATATAAAATACCCACAGAAACAAAAAAAAGAGGTGGGGCTGGGGATGTGGCTCAGTTGGTAGAGGACTTGCCTAGCATGCAGGAGGTCCTGGGTTCAATCCCCAGCACCACATGAAACTAGGTATGAAAGTGAAAGCCTATAATCCCAGCACTTGTGAGACCAAGACAAGGTTACATTCAGTTTGAGGCCAGCCTGTTCCACATAGTGACTTCCAGGCTAGCCTGAGCTACAGAGTGAGACCACCTCAAAAAAAAAATGAGGAATGGAGTGGGACTGTAGCTCACTTGGTAGAGTACTGGCCTAATTCCATCCACCCACAGCACCACATAAATCTGGTATGGTGGTGCATACCTGCAATTCACCCCTCTTAAGGTGGAGGAGTACCAGGAGTTCAAGGTCACTCTTAGCAAGTTAGAGGGCAGCTAGTCTGGGATACATAACCTATTGTCAAAATAAAAAAAGAAAAATGTTGCTATGATCTCAGGAGCTTCCATCTGGGGGATGGATCATAAATCCAAAGGAGGGGCTGTAGAGAGGGCTCAGTGACTAAAGCACTTGCCACACAAGTGTGAGACCCAGAATCTGGATTCCCAGAAGCCCACATAAATGCCAGATGGGCATGGCGGCCTGCTTGTAATTCCAGTCTCAGGAGGCCAGCAAGATCAGCCATATCAGTGAGTACTGAGTCTGATTGAGGGACCGTGCCTCAATGCATAGGGTGGAAGAGTGATGTAGGATGATTCCTGACATCAACTTGGGGCTCTGCATGCATGCTCATGCTCACCTGTACACACCTGTGTCCACACACACATGCAAAAACATGCATATAGAGGCTGGCAAGGTGACTCAGTGCTTAAGAGCACTGGCTATTCCTCATCAGGCATCTCACAACTGCCTGTACCACCAACCAAAGGGAATACAACACCTTCTTCTGGCCTCTGTGGGCACTTACACTCATGTGCACATACCCCCCCACACACACATACATGCAAATACATAATGCTTTTAATTTTAAAAAGGGGCTGAGAGCTAGGCAGCTAAGAGCACTGGCTGTTCTTGCAGAGGACCTCGGTTTGATTCCCAGTACCCACAGGGTGGCTAACAGCCATCTGTTATTCTAGTTCCAGGGATCCAACACTCTCCTCTGGCCTCTCTGGCATTGAATTCATATGGTGCACTTACATACCTGTAGGCAAACACTCATACACATAAAATAAAAATAAAGGTGATAAACATTACCATTGAAATCTACTCGATGACTTTATAGAATACACAGGTGCCAAGGATCTGAGTGCAACAGATTATGACTAGTAATAATCAGATACATACAGATTAGAGACTTATGCGCCAACATCTCAGTGTTAGTAGCAAAAACAATGAATCTTTCTGTAAGAAAGAGTATATTTTAAAATGAAATGGAGATCTTTTTTAAAGGTTAAAAACTCACTCAATTTTATGTCTTACAGGGCTTATACTGAGTTCAATATTGTATAACGGTATTAATTAAACAGCGAACCTAAAAATTTTATAGCCACTTTTGAAAGAGCTATATCTTTGCTCTGGAAACTGTTATTGAGCATATTAAAGCTGTAATGATATGCTTCTTCTAAAAAAATAAAAAATAATATTTAAAAAAGCAAAAAAAATAAACTGTAATACACACATATGCACATAAAAAACAAAAATTAAAATTAAAAGAAAAAAATATATCAAAGAAGATTTTGCAGACTGGGGTGAGCTCAAATCTGAGGGAACAGAGAGGGACCTGGGTCTGTCATCATCCCTTCCTGGTTGTTGCTGTTTCTTTGACGAACCCATCCGCACCAGCTTTGCAAATGGACGGTCCACGGGCCTGGTGTTGGACAGTGGGGCCACCCACACCACGGCCATCCCAGTTCACGATGGCTACGTATTGCAGCAAGGTAGGACCTTGGCTGGGGTTGGGGTTGATTGGGAAGGGCCGGGCCCTGACATGATCTCCTTTTTTCAGGCATCGTCAAGTCTCCCCTGGCAGGGGACTTCATCTCCATGCAGTGCCGGGAGCTCTTCCAGGAAATGGCTATTGACATCATACCCCCTTACATGATTGCAGCCAAGGTGGGGCCTCTGGCGAGTCCAGATCTGCCATCTACAGTCTGCCTTATACCCATCGGTCCCCATGAGATAGTAGAGCAAAGCCCCCAGGAGATCATGAGTCTGGCTCCTCATTTTTGTTTTTTTTTTTGTTGTTGTTGTTTTAATGCATATGAGTGTTTTGCCTGCATGTATGTCGTGCAATGACTGCAGAGGCCAGAAGAGGGTCTCAGATCCCTGGAATTGAAGCTATGGGTGATTTTTAGCTACCATGTGGGTGTTGGGAACTGAACCTGATCCTCTGCAAGAGCAGTCAGTGCTCCTAACTGTTGAGCCATCTCTCCAGGGCCCTGGTTTCTCACTTTACAGGCTGAAGCCAAGCAATAAGTTGATGGCAGATATGTGTGATGGGTTCTAGGGTACAATAAACCCAGGATCTAGAGCCAGGCATGGTGATACACACCTGTAATCTCAGCACTTGGGAGGCAGAGACAAGAGGATTAGGACTTCAAACCTGAACTTCAGGAGACCTTACTTAAAAAAATAAAATAATCCCAGCACTCAGGAGGCATAGGCAGGCAGAGCTCTGTGAGTTCAAGGCTAGCTTGGTCTACATAGTGAGTTCCAGGGTATCTGGAGCTATAGGGAACCCTGTCTCAGAAAGACCAAAAAAAAAAAAAAAAAAAAACCACGAAGGGGGGCAACGGCCTTTAATCCCAGCACTCAGGAGGCGGGGGGAAGAGGATCTCTGGGGGTTCAAGGCCAGCCTGGTCTACACAAGGGTTCCAGAATATCTGGGGTTACAGGGAGACCGTGTATCAAAAAGGAAAAGATGGCAATATTGACAGTATCACAAAGAATCATGCAGAAGGGACTAATATGAAAGACTGAAGCATATTCATTGTTGCATTCTGTATCAGAAGCCTCAATGGGAGCCTAGTGGTTTGCATCCCTTCTTTTTATTATTGTAGTTACTCACTAAATGAACAACACTCTTTACTTTGGGAGAAGAACAGAATTATCATTCAGATTCACTATAGTGTGTCTGTCAGTATTATATGTACTCTTAGTTCCTAGCTTAAACAGTTATTACCCATAAAAGATGTTAAGAGTATGTATTGCTCTTCCACAGGACCTGAGTTCAATTCCCATCAACTACATTGAGGAGCTTACAACTGCCTGTAATTCCAGCTCCTGGGGAATCTGACACCTCTGGTTTCTGTAGATGGACACACACACACACAGACACACACTTAAACATAAAAAAAATCTTTAAAATAAAATTTAGCATGAGGCTGGGCACGGTGGCACAGGCCTTTAATCCCAGCACTCAGGAGGCAGAGGTAAGAGGATCTCTGTGAGATTGAGGCCAGCCTACATAGTGAATTCTAAATCAACAGAGGCTACAGGGAGACTGTCTCAAAAAGACCAAATAAATAAATAAACAAAACAAAACACACACACACACACACACACAAGAAAAACCAGCAGAGTCTGGTGACATGGTTCAGTGGCTAAATTGCTTGTGATCAAGCTTGATGATCTGAGTTTGATCCCCAGAACTCACATGCTAGAAGGAGAAGACTGACTCCTCAAAGTTGCCCTCCATATTTGCACCATGGTATGAATGCTTACACACATACACACATACACACACACACCATGCACACACAGTAGTAATAATAATAATACAATAAATTTAAGAACTTTAAAAAGGGCTAGGGATATAACTCACTAGATTGCACAAAGCCCTGAGTTTGATCCCCAAGACTGCATAAATATTGGTTACACTGAGACCAGTTTGAGTGACATAAACTCGATCTCAAAAAACCAACTGAACAAAATCCCAGGTTCCAGTTCCCCTCTGCCGAGGAAGAGCTCTGTGACTCAGTGTTTCATACTGAAGCTCCCCTGATGAGAAAAAGAATCATTTCATTAATTGTTGTGGGGTTTTTGTTGTTGTTTTTTGAGACAGACTCTCATGCAGCCCAGGCTGGCCTCTAACTTACTATGTAACTAAGGATCACCTTAAAAACCTGATCCACCTGCCTCCACCTCTCAAATGCTGGGATCCCAGGTGTGCACCACCATGTTTCTGCAGTGCTGGGGATGGAACCCAGGACTTTGTGCATGCTAGGCAAGCACTCTACCAGCCAAGCTGTACCCACAGCCTCTGATGTGGGTCTTTCTGATCATCGGTATCTGCAGTGTGTCTCACACTCTTACCATCCTCACTTCTCTGTCAGGGAGGGGTGACAAGCACCTCTATCTCCTGGAAGACAGAGCAGAGTCTCAGCTCAGTACTGCTCAGCTGCAGACGGGGAGTGCTAGTGAGGCCGGTGTGCCCAGGTGGGCTGAAGAAGGATACTCAAGTCTATGTGTCCCTACAGGAGCCTGTACGGGAGGGAGCACCCCCAAACTGGAAGAAGAAGGAGAAGTTACCTCAAGTCTCCAAGTCTTGGCATAACTATATGTGTAATGTGAGGCTCTGTGATGCGTGACTCTTCCCCAGCTCCTCTATGACTAGGAGGAGGGTCTGGATGGGAGTGGGGTGGGATTGGAATGTTCAAGAGAGAATTCAGCCAGATCTCACTCCTTCCTGCTTCTCAGGAGGTGATCCAAGACTTCCAGGCCTCGGTGCTGCAGGTGTCCGACTCCCCTTATGATGAACAGTGAGTAGGATTCACCACAGTAGGGCAGGAAAGAGGGCAGAACTGAAGCCAAGTGTGTTCACACTCACATGTCCTCCCGGTACTCAGGAAGGCCGGGCAGGAGACTGAAGATTCCCAGGCCAATCTGGGCTACATAGTGAGATGCTGTCTCAAACTACAAGAAAAAAGGGCGGGGGGGAGATGGCTCAGTGATTAAGAGTACCAGCTGCTCTTGCAGAGAACCCAGGTTCAGTTCCCAGCACCTCATGGTAGCTAGCAACCGTCTGTAACTCCAGTTCCAGGGGGGATCTGATGCCCTCTTCTGGTTTCTGTGGGCATTGCACACACTTGGTGCACACATGTAATACACACATATATATACAAATG